CTTGCTACTTGGCCCACCTACTGTATACATGCAAGGAACACGTTAACGGTGCTATACGATGCACAGAGCTCACCACAAACTAACTTGCATGCAGATCTTATGATATATGCACTTGTACTTTAATGGTTTACCAATATTTGGTGATTTTATCCTTCGGTTCCAAACAGGAACAATTATGCAGAATCTAGGACTATTTAGAAACTCTGTATATTATATCAAGTCATTATGTTTGCAAATGCCTTTCTTTAATATAAATTTAAAAAAACAAAACTTTTTTTTTTAAATTTGTCAATTTTTATTGGCATTTTCTCATTACAACAACAATCACAAAGTGCAAAATGCAATGGGGGGGGGAGAGGATACAGAAGGGAAGAAGGGGAGGGGATCCAGCAGTAATCCTTTGTTGCTTATATCACATAGTAAAGTCATACAATACAAAACAACAGGTAAGCGGTGATTCTCTGCGAGGTTTATGTCAGACTCGATCCCTCTTTAATGCCCCTCAGGTCTGTAGACAGGTCAATTTGCATAGTATGTTCTCTTTACAGTGGCACTTAAATGTGTCAATTGACCCGATCTCCATGTGTCCCAAATCTCCCATGACTTTCCAGTGGTCTGAGATGGGGGCCACAGTTTACTGTATGCTCCCTCGTATGCTCTTTGGTCATGTATAGCGGAAAGCAGCCTAGCGGAAAGCAGCCTAGAGATGGGTGGGCAGTATTTGGTTTTCCATGCTCTTGCAATCTCTCTGTGAGCTGAGAGAAGGACTTGATATATGAGTTTCCTTGTAGCTCTGGGGATCCCACTCTGAAGGAGTAGGGTTATAAATATTTGGGGTGTGAATGTGAGGGAGAGTCCCATTAAGTCTTGCAAGAATGAATGGACCGCGATCCAGAATGGTCTAAGTTCTGGGCACTGCCACCAGATATGTAGGACATCTCCCTTTAGTTCTTTGCATCTCCAGCAGGTGGGGGTGCTATTCGGATAAAATGTATGGAGTCGTGTGGGTACCATGTACCATCTATATATATCTTTCCGCTGTTGCTCTACCAGAGTAGTGGATTAGAGCAGTTGGTTAATGTCTTGGAATAGAGTATTCCATTGTCGAGGGGAGATATTCTCTCCTAGGTCCATGTTCCATTGCTGTGCTATTTTGGTAGAAGGGAATCGGAGGTAGTTTGCTATGAGTTGGTAACACATGGAGGTCGGTTTACATAGGGGAGGCAATAACCCATTAATGCATGTCTGCTCCCACACCGTGAGTTGTCCCTTTTCTGATTGCGCTTTCACTGCTGCATACGGTGGCTTATGAAGGAACGATCTCAACTGTATATATGAATAGTGTGAGGTCTGAGCGAACTTGTGTGTGTCTCTAAATTTAGAAAAGTCCAATATTTCCATCTGCTGAAGGATTTGGTAGAGGTGAGTTAATTTTTTGTCCAGCCATGGATTGGAACAAAACATTTTTTAAAAACATATTAGTATGTATGTTTAAGTTTAACTATAAAACAATTCACGTGTGTAATAATGTACCATGCTAAATTATTAAATTATATTATTAAAAATGTTCTAAAAAATCTACATTGTATGCCCCTTTTAAGTCATACTCTTGATTTGGATGCTGTCACGAGTCAGTCCAGGTTTACTTTGCATGTGATACAATATGAATCATATCAAGTCTTGTTGAAACAAGGCACACTTCCAGTTGTTTAGTGTAATTATACAACAAGCATTGCATATGTAAACAAAAATGACAAATGATTGCGATGCACTTTGTCAAATCAGTCAAATTACTTCGAGAAATTGTAAGGCTGTATATTTGGAGAAGTGATTATATACGGTATACACAAGTAAAATGAAAATGTGGGAATTATATTGTGGTCTTCCTTGTACATCAACTCACAAAGACTATTTTTACTTTACAAATATAAATAAATGCATCATTCAGCCCTGCCATCTGTCATTTGCAGCAGGCGAGAGAACAAGAACAACGTCAATATTAAACAAATACGTTAAACTACTAATGTCATTGAAATATCTGTAGGAAGATCACTGGTCTGTAAAAATAAATCCTGGAGTGTTGCAGAAACAAATACTTTTTGTTTTTAAATATTTTACTATTTTCTAGTTTAGGGGCCCAAAAGGCCAGCTCAAACTTCGGCCGTTTGTTATCTTATATTTTACATAAAAATAATGTTACTTATAAATACTTATATGCTTGCATAGATGTATTGTTAGGACAATTTAAACTTCCAGTAAACACCTTACATAAGTTTTTTGTGTGTATCATGTAATATGATGTCATACAGTTGTAATCAAAGTTGTTCAACCGCCATTGAAAATCAGGTTTATATTTAAAATATACAGACTTTTGCAATGAACAAATCAAAGAAAAGCAATAGAAAAAGCACAACAAATGCTTCAAGTGGTTTCCCTAAAATAACTGAAAATGCAACTTATAATGATTTCTCCAGTTTTTAACCAGCCCTATTTTTTAGATGGTTATGTGCTTTCAAGTAAACTTTATCAAACAGCTAACAATGAGGGGGGTTGGCTGCAGAACTGAAACATATTACAGAATTAAAGAAACACAAATTTTCTAACCATATTTTTACTTACTACCATCCCCTCCAGTTTAAAAGAATCTTAGTGTTTCTAAACAATTGCAAATATATTTTTTCTACACATAAAAACTGGTATGAGCCACTGGTCAAAAGTAATGATGCTATCTCTCTTCTTTTTCAGAGTCTTGCAAGATTAAAAAATGGCTTCTGTGTTGCAACAGGATCTCAGTCAGATCTTTGGGCTAGCAATACATCTTTGGAAAGTTCCAGTACGTCTCTGCCCAGACAGTATCTCAATGTTAGCTCACAGACTGATGTTTCAGGAAATGTAAGTTTATCACTGTTTATGAAAAATCAGTTTGATACAGAACGAAACAATATGTGCTACATATTTTTAATGTGTACAAAACATGGTTAATTTATTCAGTACCTTTACTCAAGATTCACCCAGCAAAGTCTGGACTATTCACTAAACTCAGTTGTAGCAAACTGAAAAATTATGTTAGTAAAATGGTTTTGATAATATGTATTTTCTTAATAAAATGAAAGGACTTTTCTCAAATTACATCAAGTTCATTACATTATTTTAACCTCCCATATTTCCCACTTGCTCTCAGAGTACAAAACAGCTGCCTGAGTTTTTTGATGTCCTTAACATGCAGTCCTTTTTGGATTTAAAGGATCACTATAGTGTTAGAAATACAAAAATATATATACACTATACCAGTGGTTACCAAACTAGTCCTCAAGGCAACCCTGCCAGTCCAGGATTTGGAGATTGAACAGTTGTGTCTAAGATGTTTTTTTTCTTCTAAAAACACCTTACATATAACTGGCTAATCCCTAAATCCTGGACTGGTAGGGGTACCTTGAAGACTGGTTTGGGAAACACTGCACTATACACTATAGTGTCCCGCTGTCCCTCTCCAGCGATTCAGCTGTATGAATAATAATAGAAATCCTAATATAAGAAAAAAATAATAGAAAAGTTGTAGAATCTCTAGATTAACTGAATCCATGCCTTTCCATGGGAAATTTTAAGACACTGTACATCCTCATGCACAGCCTGTTGTTTCACGGAGTTAAGCTTTGTGAAAGACCAGTAAGTGCCTCTTGTGCCTGTCTGGGAGACAGCGACTAGAGGTAACCATAACCTTGCAGTTTCTCTGAACTGCAATGTTTTACATTACAGAGTTAAGGGGACAGGGACAGTGCACCCAAATCACTTTACTGAGATGAAGTAGTCTGGGTTCCTATAGTGTCCCTTTAATTATTCCCCAATTGTATGTTTGTTTTTCTTGATCAAAAACAACCAAATGGGGGCTGTTATATTACATTAATATTTTAACAATGTAATTGTGTGTAAAATATAGCTTGGGTACAAGTGAGTATAACTGAAACAAACAAAGGGTGAAATAAATCTAAAGTAAGTTATGTATTCTTTATCTTCAGTTATGGGAAGTAATCTCTCCATATAGACTTGATTTTCTTTTCTCCGGTAGACGTATCATTGCAAGCATCCTATAGGTATTAGAATGGGCTATAATAAAAAAAAAAAATGCTGAAGTTAACAGGGTGTCAATTTCTCATGAATCTTGGTGTAAGAAAGTGCTACAGAAATAACATTAAGAAATTGAACAAACTAATAGACATATTTAGAGAATTTGCCATTCTCATCCAATTCCATTGTGTTGACAGCTTGCTGTGATCGGTAGTAACCACTTGGCTGAGAAGGTCAGATTACGACTTCGTTATGAAGAAGCAAAGAGAAGGTAATTGCTATTTTGCAGCTATTTGTGTTGTTAGATGACACACATTGAGTTTTCCGTCAACAGCGCTTCAGGTTGCACTTTAACCCCTTAAGGACCAAACTTCTGGAATAAAAGGTAATCATGACATGTCACACATGTCATGTGTCCTAAAGGCGTTAAGGCACAAATGTGTTTCTGGAAATTGTGATCAAAATAGTTCAAACAATTAGCTCAAACATGGTCTGGACAAGTCCTGCTTTATGTACTTTTAGACAGATAGTCATCCAGTGAAACCTCTGATATCATACATAAAATCATGAATTTGAGTTTCTGTGTTTTATAATTTTGAAAAAGAAACAATAAAACACCGACCAAATACAAAGGTTCACAAGTACACCTTCCCAACCATGACATATGCCATATACCAACATATTAAGGCTCTAAAACATTCCTTTAAAACACTTTAAACAATTTGAAAACATTACAATATTTGTAATTATCACTTTTTCAAAAGTTTCTCATGGCTATTTCCAGCATATAAGATACTCTCCAATAAAAGAAGAAGAGGATAACTTGAATTGTAGGTCATTAAATGTTGTAGATCAACTTGTGGGAACCCAAGCTGTAGAACATCTCAACATGTGCTCTTTTGAGAGGTTTAGTCACTGTCTATGTTTATAGCAGTGGTTCCCAAACCAGTCCTCATGGTCCACCAACAGTCCAGATTATGTTAGTATCCCAAGTGGAATAAAAAAGGTAAGTACATAAATCCTGGATTGTTGGTGGGCCATGAGGACTAATTTAGGAACCACAGTTCTTCAGTTTCTCAAGAAGAAGCCCAATGATGCTAAGACAGTTGGGCTGAGCATTATGTGAGCTGAAGTTCTAGAGTTCAAAACCAAGTAAAGAGGTACTGCCACTGGTTTTATACAGTTGATTCAGATCTCCTTTCTACAAAAAAAGCAACATTTAATTTTCAGTATTATTTTGTGTAGTGAGTCACAGTATGCTCTTGGTTAATGTTGTAAAGAGCGTGCCTAATTGTTTAGTGAGCGGCAATATGATACAGACATTAGCTAACTACCTCTTTGATTATTAAAAACCACAGAATGATTTATGGGCGAACCAATTCTGAAGAAAACATCCTGTGATCATTCAGAAAACACATAAATATCACAGAGGAAAGTCTCCTTAGATTGAACCTTGCTTCAGTCATCTCACTATCTAATGTGAGACTATGCGTAATGCAGCTATAGTGTCTAGTCTGCATGTTACAAAGCTCTAGATGTACTCCTACACATACACAGCCATATCTGTCAAACTGTAAGAGAAAAGAGAATTCTCAATCTCTTATAGACATAAGTACTGTTATAAAGGTATGAATTTTCCGTTCCTCCTTCCACCAGATGTTTTGTGGTGTAAAATTGCCGCAGTATGGTGACCATGTTTGAACACATTCAGCAATCATGAAATGTTGCTTTAATGCAGGTTTTGTTTTTGTAGTAGGATTGCTAGGTGTATACTTTCTTGTCACTTTGTCTCATAAAACGTACCTTCATAAACGGTGCGTCACTTTATGTAAAACTTGTGAAGACATTAGTATTGTTATAAAAAGCAGTTTGCCTCTGTATAACTTCACTGTGTGCCTTTTCTACATAAATATTCATTTGTTAATCCTGCACTTACCTTACGGCTCCTCAGTTATTATTCTGAACCTGCTGGTACATAAATTTCCATCAAAGTAGTGACCTAAAAGACACACTAGACAAAAATGATATAAGGCAACCTGGGGCTTACAGAGTATTTACTAAAGTGAGAATCTGTAAGGACTTCATAGTGAATTTAAAATTTAAGGCCAAAATAACCAAGCTGTAAAAATCCTCCAAATCAGCTATTCTTCTATGTCAACTAATTTAATCTTAAATTGGAAATTCACTTGAATTCCGTCAGTTCTCACTTTAGTGAATAATCCTGTGAGTGTTCTGACTGTCTGATTGACAGTTCTGGTGTGCTGTCATGTAGTGTTGTCGTGTTTTACAAATCACTGCTGCTATAAGCCACTCTCAGAAATGAGAGCGGGCTCAGGGAACTCCAAGCACCAAACTTTGCAATAATGATAAGTGGTTATTGTGCTTTAACTGACCGTTTTAGTGTTTATAGTTTTGTTTTGGGGAACTTTTCGGTTTCCGTGCATTTTATTCAATGTAAAATGTATGGTTTATCTCCAACTGATTCATTACAATATTAGTTTAAACAATTACTGATCTTGTAATGGAAGAACCTAACAAAGCTCTGCGTGCATTAGCAATTAATGACGGGTAACTGCTTAGCACAAGCTTTCTTTCTTTCCATTGCCTTGAATGTAATTCCTTATGCATATCTTATTTATAGGATCGCCAATATTAAAATACAGCTGTCTAAATTAGACAGCGAAGCCTGGCCGGGGGTTCTTGATTCGGAACGGGATCGGCTTATCTTAATAAATGAGAAAGAAGAACTCTTGAAGGAAATGCGATTCATCAGTCCGAGAAAGTGGAGCCAGTCTGACGTTGAAAGACTTGAAACAGAGAAAAAACGACTGGAGGAAGATTTACAAACTGCGAGAGACTGCCAGAGTAAAGCACTTACAGAGAGGTAAAGCAAAACAGACAAAACAGCATATTCTGTTACTTGATAGTGTTAGGCATGTTTTATAATCTATATCGGTTTACTCATTCAAACATTCTTAAAATGTATACATGCAAATCTGTGACTATAAACTAGCTAAAATCTGCATTTTTTGCCTTCAAATTTGTGCAATCTGGCCGGTGTTTATAGCATCCAGTATTCTTTTTCTGTAAAAAAAAGAAAAGAAAAAGAGTAATGTGTTGCATTCATATTATAATATAGTATAATATTATTATTGTCATATTATTGGAAATGTTTGTATTCCTTTTAAATTAAATTTGTTTCCTTGAATCCATTCAGGTTAAATATTGCGCGTGAAGAAAACCACTATCTCAAATTTGTTCCACACATACTTGGTCAAACCTTAAAAGTAAAAAAAAAAAAAAAAAAAAAGTTTTTTGAAGCATTCACTTCTTTACTGTAAACACAGGTTAAAAAAGTACATTGGATTTTGCATATCGATTGTAAGATGTAGTCGTGTTATGGCTTCCAATGGAGCCACAAAACAAGCAGTTTTCTTTAGTTGTGGCACTCGTGTACTTAAAGCAGCATCTCGTAGGGTAGCCAAATGTAAATGTGCTAATTGTAGCACTGCATTTATGGTGAACATTTCTCTGGTGTCCCCAGACGTGGAACCTCAAAAGTAAGCACAAACAGCCTATCCTACCAAATTCAGAACTGTGACTATATGTGCTGCATGCCTTTTACAAAATTTAAATCAGCCACAGCTATGTTACAAGGAGTAGGCATATGCCTATGCCTCTATAACTTTTTTGAAGATCACAAATGCATACATCCCAATATTTGGAGGTACGAACTGGAGACAGTTATTGGGCAGCTCTACTTTCATCACTGGTGATGCTCAAAATGGGAAGTCTTGCCAGAAAGTTATCTGGAATGCCAAAAGATTTAACAGCACAATTTAGGCCTTTTGTCATGTTGATGCAGGTAGGTTCTTGGGTGTTGCGCATATGGGGACAGCAGGGAACTTTCCATAGCAAACATAGCATGATCGCATCAAAAGATGCACTCAGGCTGCTCTGAAGGCACTAAGACCATGAAACACATCATTGTGGGAGAACTGGATAAGAGGTGACATAAACTGTAATTTCGTTTATAGTACACAGGTATCTGTCCTACTTGGAGTGTGCCTTTAAGAGATAATTTGATGTTCCAGGTCAAATGCTATGTTACAGTTCAGAAATAATTATTCTTTCTGATGAGTCTACTGTTTACTGTCTTCTCTAACAAAAGAGTAACATAACTTTCCCCAAGACACTTCTGCTTTGTAGAATTAAACATCAAAAGAGTCTGGAAAAGGTAAATTACACGAAAGCAAACCTATATCCCTGTTGTGGTTTCATAACTACTGCACCATATTATCAGTGATTAAAGGAAGTAGGAACTCATCCTGTAGAATCTGAAGAATTTGACAGGTATATAAACTATACATAGATTACTTTTTTCCAATTTTCCAGAAGTCAGGAAATGATTATGTAAACACAAGGCAAAGTATTTTGCCTTGATGCACACCAGACCTTCAAAGATAGACATATAGATTAGAAATGGCATAGCACAAGGCAGTACCAGTCTCGTCTGGCAGACTGCTCTACTCTTGGAGGGTTTAGGTCATGAAAGGTGTTCAAAATAAGTGAATGTGATCTGTCTTAAGGGTATATTCACTAAGCAGAGTCAGGGTTATACACTAGAGGACAAATTGTTGTGAAATCAACTTGGCCTAAAATTTTCATTATCACTATCAGAGTTATTTTCTAAAGTGAGAATAGATAAAAATGTCTTCCAATTTGTTTTGTTTTTTACCTTAAATTTGAAATCCACTACGTTAGCTAAACTTTTAGTTTGGATACTCTGGCATTAAATTGAATTCACTTTGGATAATCTCTTTAGTGAATAACCCTGTATGAATTATCTTTGAATCCCTGACAATTTACACCTTAGTTAATAACTCCGCAAATTGTGACGAGTTAACAACCCATTTGCAAAACCTAACTAGAATTGCTGACTTAATAGTTTTGTACTTTCGCTGAATTGAAGATCTTTTTCTGTATATCTCCATTTGAATGATGCTTCCCCTTTTGAATCTACGTTTGCATATCGTCCACTGGTAGAGTTCTGCAGAAAGCATTGGTGCTTTATAATAATAATAATACTAATAGAGAGCACCTCCAACTAATATCATTATTAAAGGAAGGCATACAAACTCCAATTTTGATACTTTTTTTTTTTTTTATCAATGTCTTTTTTTTTGGCCAGATATAAGCAGGTATAATGATATTCAATAAGAGTGGTTCACAGAGGCCGGAGAGACCCAGGAAACTGTCTTCAACAATCATAGCACAAGTGCATCAGTAGACAAGCTTGCGCTATGTTTAGGGCACTAGCACTGAAACAGTGCTCCCTACAGGGTCAGCCCTCAGTGGGATGGACCTTCTAGCAATTTGGTGGACGCATGGGCCATTGCATCACTGGCCCATTCCCTTTACTCCCATCAGGGTCCCGACTCTGGGATGGCCGATGTTGGGAGGTATGTTGAAAGGGTAATGTAAGCATAAACATAAGCATTACAGTATGCAACAGTGTTTATTGGCACCATCTTCTGGTAATTCCTCTAGAAAGTAAGATGGTTTGAGCAGGGCCCTCAACCCCATTTGTTCCTGTGCGTGCAAATATTTTATGTTAGTCCATCCATTGTACAGCACTGAGGAATTTGTTGGCACTTATAAGTAAAAATAATAGTAATAATAATCAAATAGTTTGACACAAACTGAGGAACCACCAGGTACCAACAGCTTGTTCACTCACTATCCATATTGTTTATGTGTTAGATACACTGCTCTATTACACATTTTATTTCTGTCTGTATTTGGCTTGCATTCAGGGCTGGATTTACAGAGCCACTTGTAAACCTGTTCTATTCCCACCCCCTACTTGCTCCTTTCTTCTCTTCCCCCTTCAATTAATGTTCTGCTCTTCTGTCCTCCTGCTTCACAGAGTCCTCACCGCACTCCCTATCTGCCACTTATTCCCCATTGCTCACTTGTTCTCCAGTCACAACCTGCAGGCGGAGATACAGGAGGTTGCATGGAGTTATGACGCTGACGCCATCTCTGCATGCTGTCCT